AGCTGTAGTTGTGGTTAGAAACAGTCTCGTTAGCGCATGGTCGACAGAAAAACCGCCTAATGGCCGGGAAGCCACCGTTTCGCGTCCACCTCTGAACTTGTCTTTTCATTCACACCAAAAGTTCATGAACTTCACATGTTGAAACTATGGAGCAGCCTAATCTTTGTGCAATGTACTGCGGCAAAGCATCGGTGCTGAATACTGGTGTTATGCCGTCGATGATGACGATGGTGATGATGATGATGAGGAGGAGGATGAGGATGAGGATGATGAGGATGAGGATGATGATGATGACGATCTGACTCACTGTCTCCCAAAGTCTTGCTCTCATCAACGATCGTATGGAGTGACCAAGAGAAAACGAGGGTTCAGGTGAGCGGACCTCGAAGTCACTTCCAAGGAGCTCCGCATTTTTAGCAAGTTGCCTTTCTCCCTAATCAGCGATTAGCCAGAATTGTCTCCGTACATCTCCTATACAGCACTTTGAAAACTCCTTATTCTCAAAGTTGCACTGAATTTCATCGGATCGTTTTTATTTTGCAGTTGTGTTACGCGTAAATGAGTTTATTTCCGGCTAAATCAATGAGTAATGCAGGAATAAAATAAAGATCAAAGGGGTCTCTTCAAACCATTCACTGACTGCAATTATGTCAACATATTTAGTACCAACGATACTACAATCAATCTGATACAACAATTCTTAGGGTCTATCAGAATAGTTCAACACTTTCCTTCATATGTTTTGAAAACAGTTGGAAAGCTTCGATTATTTACCATAAAATCTCCCACGAAATACAGCATTCTCCACTTTGCGCTTCCCGAGGCGTTTCCGAAGCTTGTCCTCGTGTGCTCTAACCTGTGAAGTATTCCTCTTAAATATAAGTCCTCTTATATAAGTCCTCTTAAATATAAGGTGATGGAACTGCTTCAGATTGGTCTTCCTTGAAGGCGAAGTCGCACAATTCATGGTCTAGGATGTCTAGATACCTAATTTGACAAATTCCAGTTACAATATTCAGCTGCACTATTCAATAGTGTGTTGATTTCCTGGGCCCCGTTGCTGCCTGTGAGGTGCTTGTCATAACTGACTGAAAGTTCGGCCGGATTGGTTTCTCATCATTGAGGAGTAAGAAACGGGAGGAGGGTTGTGATTACGCAGAAAGTCACTTTGAACTGAGCGTCTTCCTGAGACTTACGCCATGTACTGGACAGTATCAAATCAGGTTAAGCTAAAAATGAGTTGGTGATACTGGTTGGTTCATTACCCTCAGTAGCACTGTAGATCACGACCAAAAGCTCGCAGGGTTCGGGGCCTACGTAGTGCGGTACCATCAGCCTCATGTACTCAAGGTGTTTGTGCTCATCACACACGCAAAACTTTCGTTACGGCACAAACTTTAAAAGGACTAATGAAGCCACGAAAAGTCCATCCCCAATTGGCCAATCCGCTCAAGAGATATTAGGTACTTTTCAACACGAGAGCAGGCAGGAAGTAACTGCTCACCTAACCACACACTAATGTGTCCTATTTAGTGGTAACTCAGCGTTTGCAAACTGATTACCAAGCTCGTCGAAAGGATTAACAGCCACGGTCACGGCCAGAAAGGTCACTAAAATATAAACTATTCGCAAATTCATTGCAATGCCCCTTCTATATTTGGTCTCATCTTACTTGCGGCGCCCCAGTCTGACTCTTATTTTACACTGTCATCATCATCATCATTGTGCATATTACGAATCTCTAGGACTTACTTATTTTTACACAATGGCAATTGGTTTCACATATATCGAGCTATGCCAGACTGGGCTGACAGATTCCAGAAACCGATACCAACGAGTTTAAGGTCAGACCTAAGCTGCCAATGCGGAATTCCAACTACCCTTAAAGAATGTAGCTTCCCCCGGGCCTGGAGAAGACATCAATGCAAGTAAACAAAGCACATTTTTGGGTTTTTGGACACCTTTTAGCGTTCTGTGACCATCAGGTTGAACAATTAGGCGAGTTGTTCAAAGACAAGAGGGTGCCCCGCACACTACCTATCAAAGACCTACAGCCTTCGGATGTGGTATGCTCGAAGCGGTCACCATCCACTACTGTTGCGAAGACTTGGCGAACAGCCAATTTGATTACACGAGTTTCCCCCCGCACTAGCTACTATCACTTTTCTCCTATAAGCTCTTCGTAAATTGCCTAAAGAGTATACCCGTCAGCTTGCCAGCCATATAGAACCCGAATGTCCAAATGTCGTGAGGCATTCAATTTCATCATCTTAGGCGAAAGATTATCCGTGTGTCCACTTGCTTGTCAGGTAAATGATATCACCCTGCTCATTTTGTTCGCAAGCCTTGAGTCTTGAGTGGTACTTGACTCCATCAGGAACCACTTACTTCTGCAGGGTAAGACAGTCACACTAACGGTCTCCAGTCCAAATGCTAGGAATCAGTTGGACGCCCAAATATCCCACCAGCGTTTGCTGCGTCACTCAGGTCAATGACACTGGTTCTAGCCAATGGAGCAAACAATGGTTTGATGCTTGAATTAGACTGGATGTTTCACAAGTCGACCTGGAGTGAATGCACCTGTTCCACGCGGCTTCTCTCGGGGACGAAATCACCGAGCATCATCTAAGCATCTCAAATTTTCGAAATTCGCTGAAGGAGTTCGGGAGTTCTTCGGTGATATGTGTGATTAGCCAGTGACCAGTAAATCTTCCGGTCATGAATACTTTGATCGTTAAGCCTGATTAGGCAGCGCGTGCTAATCTCCAAGAAGCCGCCGGCCTGATGAGATTCCCACGGGAAAGAGGAAAACAGGTCATCTGGATCATCCGGCCCGCATGTCAGCTAGTTGAAGATGAATGGTGAGGTAAACTGTCAGGTTTAGCAAACATCTCTTTCTGCAGAGCAAGGAATGCTGAATTCCTAAGAAACACAATAAAGCTTAGCGACATCACCAACGAGAATTTCAGCTAGGTTCCAGGTGGGTCTCTCGCAAAATCAAATTTGCTTGCAAACGAATCTACCTCGCCAGTTTTGTGCAATCTGGTTTCATATAAAACATAAGGTTGACGGAAACCCGGGGACTGCGCCTACCTGATGAGTCCCAAGAAGGGCGAAACCGGTGGTGGGCTCTGGAAGAATTTTCAGCTGCCTTTGTGAGTAGTGTATTACGTCTGCACAACAAAGCAATCTCCACTGGTTGGGGAAAATCAGTAGTGTGCAAGTCACAAAAATCCCAGTAAAATTCACAAAATGACACTTTCCAGCTGAGTCCTTACGATTAGCAACCTCACTCACCAAGAATATAGCACCATTCATCCCCCAACCGATAAAAACTTCTCAAGTGATGTTTTTGTCTCCTTCCGTGGCGATTTTCGAGGTGAGATTCCATGTGACTTGCTATTTGATTGTAGTTTCCACAGGTTAAATTTACATATCATGATGAAATCCAGAACTGACATCAAAATGTGCTCTCTAAGTTGCAAATGGGGTTTTAACAATTTTACTGTTGGCTGGAAATTAATCGGATTGCAATCAATAGCCAGCAGCTAATTCTTACAAAAACAAACTGTCTCTGATCACAGTCGGTTGCCATGATTACATCACATACCAACACATTTTCTGAAGGGTTGAACGTGGCTTAAGCCAGATAGTTTTGTTAAACCGAACGCTCCATCTGAAAGAATAAAACGTAGACAGGAATTTGAAATTCCGTCCGCTTATTGTGAGCAGTATACGGTAGATTTGATCTCGAGGGACAAATTTCTTTCCACATGGCCAAAATGTCCTCTGTCCGCGTATAGAGACAACAAGTAAGCTGGCCCCAGACAGGGATCACTGATGGTTGGTCTATCAAAGATTACTTCACCGATGAAATCCCTCTTAGTAAGGACCATTTTGCAGACACAGACCCTGTTTGGCTCCAGAAGGTCCTTCCTTTAGGTAGGACAAAAGTACCTTGGCACCATCTTGGTACGGTGGCCGCATCGAGCAGACATTCCGAAAGCTGCCTGCGACATTCGTCGAAATGGAGAAGGATAGATATGATGAACTGTGAGGCGAAACCATATGGTGTTCATCTTAG